AACCCTATAAGACTGTATCTTTATTTACTGACCAAAACTATAGAAACTGCCCTGGTTTATCCAGAAGTCATCACGTTAGGTCAAGAATTAAGGAACAGAATCTTGTCTCGTCATGGCAAGAAGACTTCCTGTGCCCAGAGTGTGCGAAAACAAGCTCCTAAATAAAAAGGGAGGCTGAGATGCTAGCTGTAGAGTACAGTTGATACCATACCAGGTCCTTAAGCCAAGCAGACTCAAGATGGGCTGCTATTGAGTCTGAAAGCAGGCATTCTTAGAGCAGACAACTAGAAAGTTTATGCCTGAGAAGGGACATCTTAGCTGATGCTGTCAATATAGATCTTGCCTTAGAGGACTAGCAGAGTTTTGTATTAAACTGAACTTTAGAATCTCAAAGGCCAGAATCATTAGTTATTTTCCACTTTCTGTCCCTGCATACCGTCTACCATAGGATATAGAAAAGCAGCTTTGCTAAACCTGGTCTCCTTTATGTGCACATAAAGAGCACTGAGAGGTCGCACAACCAGATAGCATAGTATGACATATAGTCAGCCTTCATTTACACTGTTTATTCACGACTCTATGTAGCTATGCCAAACATAATACGGTATTATCTCTCATCAGATGTTGTTTATGATCATTTCTGTTCTTCCCATGCACTCAGAGGCTGCACTCAAAAATCCAATATCTGATTAGAGAATGATCTGAGCAGTTTTTTCCACAATATTGTTCTTGCTTTTTAAATATTCACTATTATTTTTACTTAGCAGGCCTGTATGATCAAGGATCTGTTATTCAAAACACTGTATGAATACAAAGCTTGAATAAATTATAGTCTGTCTCAAATAATTTGCAAATGAAATGATGCAATTCTGAAGTAGGTCTTCTGTCGGCTCATTGGGCATACTAATTTTAATTTCTAATATCATGGGATGCCCCAAAAGTAGAATCATATTTGACACGTCTTCCCTTTCCTGTGGACTGCTAAGGTTGCTGACATCTAAATGTTACTTGTACTAGCCAATAGGTTTGGAAGAGTAATTCTAACTTGTCAGTGGGTAGCAGTAAAGAAGAAGAGTGGAACACAGGCTTTGTAAAGCTTATTTAAAGTCTCTTTTTTCAAGTATTTCGAACACCTGGACGTGTTAAAGATTAAGTAAAGAGACTGTATCTGAAACGTTAGAATAAACACTGATAGAGATGGGTAAATGGGAAGAGTACCTGTTATCAACTATCAGGAAGATCAATCTTCAAAATTGCATCAGCTTATTTGAGTACTGAAGGTTCCTTTTTGTTTTACGCCTGTCTTCTTGATTGAGCTAGAGTGTTCTGCATTTACATTAGTAGAGTGTAGTCAGTTAATCAAGGAAAGTGATTATTCCCGTAATAGCATTTATTAGACTGTTTAAATACTGTGAGCAGTTCTGGGCCCCCCAATACTTGAATAAACTTGAGCAAGCATCAGCAGGCTGCTTTGGATCTGGAGCACAAGACTTGTGAAAGAGCTGGAGGAGCCCAGCTGGAGGATCCGGGCTTTTTTTAGCATCAGGCAGGAGTTTTCCTACTAAGCACTTTCTAATAAGAAGACCTGATCAAAATAGGTGGAGTCAGGCTCTTTCCAAAGCACTGTAGCGCTTTTTACTTTGAAGCAAGGGAGGTTCCAGCATGACATAAAAAAAAAATAAAAAAATATCATTATTATGATAATTAAACACAGGAACATGTAGCTCAGAGAATTTGTGGAATTTTATGTTTGGAGATTTTTGAGACCTGACTGGACAACATTCTGTTCTGAATTCACGACGGGTTGACAGCATCCTGAACAGGGTGCTGGATTATATGACCTTCTGAGTGAATCTGAATTTATTCTATAACTCTATTATTTGCAAATATTTATTGCAAGGGGTTAAACAGCATAAAACTTGTACTTATATGTATTACACACAAAAAATTAATTAATGGATCTGTAGTATAAGATTCTTACATCAGAAAATCTAATAATAAACATTATAATAAAGTGGGACAACATTTATCCATAATAGGCCAATTTAGTTTTCCTTACTTTCTTTACTCTTATTTTTTCATATGCATTTCTAAACACTCCTAAGTGTCTGTAAAAAAAAAAAAAAAAAAGACATTTTATATCCTATGTTGTGAAGAATAAAATATAGAGAGTTCTAAAACTATGGGATGTGACTTGGTCCTAGACTGAGTCTAGCACTCAGATTGCAGTGCTTCTTTTTCCTAAGGCCAGCTCATGTGTCAGGATGTTTCTTCCTTTTTTTGTAAGTATGGAAATTTTTTCTGATCTTCACAACATCCAAATAATTAAACAAGATTTTTCTGGTTTGACACCACCAAAGTTTGATATAAAACCACTCCTGCAACACATGCAGGAGAATTGATAATAAAATCATGATTTGATAATAAGAATAATTTCTGAAATCTCCTAGCTCTGGTGGTGTCAATTTGGAACAAGCAAAAAAGAGTGAAGTAAACTTTCCCAAGGTAAAATTGGAAGTGTAATTAGTAATAGAATCCATTATGTGATGCCTGAGGTGTGCAGGTAAAGTCATTATCCAGCTTATCGCGGTATAGATCAGTATCAAACGCCATAGCAAAAGGCAGACGAACAGAGAGTCGTCCTCAGACATTGGCCATTGAAAAAAAAGACTGACCCCTTTGATCCCTCAGCTTTTATACTAAGCATGATGCAGATGGGATGGAATACCCTGTTGGTCAGTTTTGGGTCACCTGTCACAGGTGTGACCCCTTTACACTCTTCTGCTTCTGACCTTCCAACTTGGTACCTAACAAAGTTAGCTGACCTCAGTTGTTGTAGCAATAAGTGTATGTATACATATATACACAAATAGCAAGAGCCTCTCTGCATACCATTAACTATAAGCATCAGATGTTATCGCTGCCAGAAGCAGACACTGTCTGAAAAATATGCTGTTAATTTCAGAGAGTTCAGTTAGTTAGAACAGACTAAACTGAAAAGTAAAATTACTGAAAAGAAAATTGGTTCTTTTTTACCTCAAAGCAGGACAAAGATAAGATATCAGAACCAAAAAGTAAAGTTATCAATTTATGTTTTAGATTGCTCAGTAAAATTGCAGCCACTAAAAAACATTTGCAGATTGATATTTATTTTAAATCTCTAAAATATGTTTGCTTTATCTAGAAAACATTGTCCTCACAAGAACAAGGTATTTTCCAATTTCATCTTCAAATAGCTCACAGGAAAAGACTATAAAAATCTGCTTCAGTTTTACTGAGTGCTTGGGTTCGAACTTTTGTTGGTTTGAAGACAAAATGATGTGAAAGATACTTATCTTTTCAATGAGACAGTAAACTTATGATCTAGTTTTACTAGAAGTAAATAGTAGAAGAATAGTAAAGTAATAGAAGAATTCAGGTCACAACTTTTAATTAGAACCCAAACAAGTTTTTTGAACAGCATGTCAGTATTACTTTGGAGAACCAAATGAAACATTTCTTTGTCAAGTACAGACTTCTAAGATGAGAGGTGTTTTAACATTACAGTAAGAGCATAAAAGTGGACCATTTGATTTTCTGAATTATAATGTGTTTGAAATATTGTTGTGAAGAAAATTACATTTTCTGAAGTGACAGATGCACTATTCAGATAGCTTTGATTATATGGCAGATTAAAAAAAAAATATTTCATAAAGGATGCCTGTCCTAAGATTTCTAACAGAGTGGCTTTAATGATTTGAGAAATTAGGAAAATACATTAATAATGATTTATTAATTAAACTGTAATATTATTAATTATTTTGCTGGTTACATTCTACTGTGTTGCAGTGATTTTCAGTTTTTTGCTCAAATATGTTACGCACATGCATTGACTTGCATTCAATATCAAAGATTTAAAGACAAGACTTAAGCATAAAATAAAAGTCCCTATCAACAGTGGGTCTCCAAGGCCAGGCATGGTGATTAAATCTCTTAATTGATTAGAATAATCTGGCACATTAGAAATAAATCTTAAAGCTCTGCAAAGATAGAACAAGGAAGAGAAAGAATTACAAATCTTTGTTTTTGAATGGAATTGTAACAAAGAATAATTTACCTAGACATGTTTGCTTGTTTTAGCTATACTTGATAAAATAATATTTAGATGTGAACACATCATAATGCACAGAAATGTCAAAGTCATGAGTTAAAATAGTTTGATTATACTTAATCTGCTTGTAATCTATTGCCAGGCTCAGTTAGGCATCATTCTATCTTTGTTCTACCTATTTTTGAGATAATTAATTTCATTGTCTTTTTCTTTTTTTTTTTTTTTTTTTTTATTTTCTCAGAGCCTGACCCTGCAAGGTGCTTGTGAGTGTCCCCAACTTCTTTTGGAAAGCCCTTCCAGGGATGCTACTGTGCACCTCACAGGACAGGATGCAACTCTTTTAGTTTGTTATAATATTATTTTCTGTGAATTATAGAGTTTAGTCCCCTTGTCTGGTGATTAATGATGCCACTTTTAACCCCAACTCTTTATGTTCTCTTACATTCATTAATTGTAATTTTGCTGAGAAAAAGCTTTTACCTTAATATGTATTTTTTTTTTACTGGATAATTACTCTGATATAACACATATTATATTTTCTTTCAAGATGCAAACTACTGACACAATGGTTATAAGGACCTAATCCTAAATGGTACCAAGTACCTGCAATTCAATTGAAGCTAATAGAAGAATAAATTCTTTGATGTTTACAGGTGGCACTCAGAACCTTTCACAGCCAATCTATATACTACTTAATTATTATCAGCAATAGTTAAGAATGTGAATCTTAAGCATTGTTTTATCTTTTAATATTGCTGTTAAGTATAATGCAATCATACTGTAAAAACTTCCAGTCACTATTTTCTTTATAACCTTTCTTGTTTTTCTTTTTCTTTTGCAGCAGATTTGCTGGATAGACTTTCTGCTGGCTGCATTTTAAATCTATTCTTTTTTCTGTCAATTACCACAG